TTTGGCTGCCTGCTGTAGCTGGCTGTCAGTCTGACCCCTCATGGGGACTCTGTCTACAACCAGGTGCCTTGTCTTCAAGCTACAGGTGGCCCTGGCTCCCCCAGTACCCCCGGAGAGACTCAGGCAAGTGCAGATGCTTCCTCAGGATTCTGTGCTTGTGAACGGTCCTAAGGTCCTGCAAGGTCAAGTCACCCAGATGTTTGGAAAATCTATCCACAGGTGACCTTAAGCAAAAATTTCCGTACTCTTGTCACTGGGTCCCTTCATATGAATGGAAGGCTGGCTTTGTAGCAGATTTAGGACTTGGTTTATCTCTACTCACCCTGCTCTCTTTCAGGGTGGCTTTATTTTCTGTATCTAGGGGGTAGCAAGATGGTTTACACCATCTGGCTTTTCAAGGCCAGTGGGCAGGGCACCTCTCTCCCCCTGTTCCAGTATTCCTAACAAAGGGTGATTAGCTCTGTTTGGTCATGTCTCCTTCCCCTGCCATTGGCTGGCTAGGGGGTTACAATGCACCGATTGGCTCAGGCTTAATCCTACGTCCAGACATGGAGGCAGCAGATGGCCAAAGGAGGCAGACAATGGATGCTGGCTGGCTCCAAACCAGCACGTGTCCTAAGGGAGTCAGTCACACTTAGAAAGTGTTTGTTAGAAGTGTGCCTGGATAGGAACATGTGAGCTGTGCAAAGTGACACATTCCAGAAAGTGGAAAGAAGGCAGAGTTTGCTGGTGGGAGAGACAAGGAGGGGGGTGCAAACCTGGTGAGGATGTGGACTGGGGAGCTCTGTTGGGAGTGAGTAGAAGGTAGCAAGGAAAAGCTGGCCCTTCATCTTTTGGCAAGGGCAGGGTGGCTCAAGGTGACCCTTGTCCCTCTGAGGGCAGATGTGCTCCCTGTGCTCTGAGATTGTCCTGAGTTGATCCCAAAGTCTGTGCCCCTCAGCCCCATGTTCTCTTCTCTCGGTGGCACATTTCAAAGCGTCCGTGGCTGGGAAATACTTTCACTTAACCCCGGGAAGGAGGTGGGCTTCCCAGGAAGAGCCTTGGCCATGGACCCAGCCCTGCCCCTCACTGGCTACGTGCAGTGGGCAGATTGACCTCCCTGAGCCCCCCCATAACAGCAACGAGTACCTTGTAGGCTTAGTGCAGGCTGATTTACGAGTTCCTCCCGTGAAGGCACTTGTGAATTCTGGGCTATCACCCAGAACAGCTCGACTTTCCCCTACTACCGTTAGTGTAAGAATACACAGGGTTAGTCTGCTTTTCTGCTGCTGCTAACACAATGCGACAGACTGGACGGAGTTATAAAGAAAAGAGGTTGATTTGGGTTCCTGGTTCTGGTCCCGGATTGAGGAGCCACATCTCGGTGATGTCGGTGATGGCTTTGAGGGCAGAGTCCTAAGGTGGAGGCCCAGGACATCACGTGGTCAGAGACAGGCGCTCTTTCCCTCTTCTTATAATCCTAACCGTGTCCCCAAGTCCCCACCCCCTGACACATAGCGGGATTACATTTCCATTCCGTTAGTACTTCCCTGTGGGAATTAAACTCCAACACGGAGCCAGAGGGGACAGTGCTGAATCCACAGCAGACACACAGATGTGTCCACACTCAGGATCGTGGGGGACTTGGTGACATTAGTTAGGCTCTGAGAGGCTCTCTGTCTCAGCGAGGATAGCATCTTCTCTGATCCCAGGACAGTTAGGCTCTAAATGTCTGTGGGGAATGCTGATCCATTCTGTCCCTACGTTTTGGGCTGTCCAGCTGGCAGAGGAAGGGGTTGTCCCCTGCCTTCTCCCGACACATCGCATGGCCTTCCCTCCTGCTCGTCACTGGAGGCTCCTGTCACCATACGCTGTGCACTTCAGCCAAGAATGGCATCCTGAGTGCCTTCAAACTTCTCCTGAATTCTCACTTTTCCCTTGTTAACCTGCCTGGCAGCAAAAGGGAAGGAATTGCACTTCTTTTGTAAAGGGCGTTGTGCCTCAGAGCATTGAGTGTTTGAAATAGAGCTTGTGTCACCACCGGTGTGGAGCCCGGATAAGGGGTCTCGCTAATGGCCTTTTGTGTTGGTGAGGGCTCTCGATGGAATCAGAGCGTGAGGGCGTGAGTGTGTGTGTGAGTGAGTGTGTGAGTGTGTGTGGGAGAGAGTGAGAGGGGCACAAGAGAGGCATATTTATTACGGGCTTATGAAATTGTGAAGGCAAACAAGTCTAAGACATGTCCTCTGAAACCTGGGGACCCAAGAAGAGCCCGTGGCGTAAGTGCCAGTTCAAATGCCAGCACTTTTCTGGCCCAGAAAGAGCTGATGTTTCCATGTGAGTCCAAAGTCAGGATAAAAACTGACGTCTGTTGCCAGGAGGAGGTCTTCTTACTTCTCCAGGGAGGGGCAGCCTTTTATTCTACTTGGGCTTTCCACTGATTGGACGAGGCCCACCTGCTCTGGGGAGGCCTGTTGGTTATCTAGTCTATCAGAGACACTCCGGCAGACACATCCAAGAGAGGCCACATGTCTGGGCACCTGTGGCCTCGTCAAGTTCACACCATCGTGTGTTATCTTGGGTGGGGTTCATGATTTTTTTCTGAGGTCGTGTAGTTGGAAAGGCTGGTGTGAAAGCATTGCAAACTCTAGAATTCTCAAGGCTGGTGTCGTTTTCCTGCCTCTTCTGTGGTCTGTATTCAAGGGCCTCTCAGGGGCCAAGAGCTATAAGCATGCAGCCTCTGGCACTCAGGAGCTCTGATTATTTCCATCTGAATAGAACAAAAGGACCCTCAGCCAGCCATCTGTGACAAGGTGACTGACTGGCTGTGTCCCTTTGGTTTAGCCTCTTACTACCAGGCTTGGGGTTTTTACCATTCTTCATGCTGTGTGTGGACCCCGCCTGTGTGAGCCGGTGATGATACAGGAAAGAGAAATTGTTCTGCAGTGAGATGGAGCTCACCAGATTTTCTGGTTGTGGTCTCCTTCTTTCCCAAGGTCTCGTGTCTTTTTAAAAGTTTTTTGGCAGGACTGGGGTTTGAACTCAGGGCTCTGCACTTGCTAGGCAGGTGCTCTAACCACTAGAGACACTGCAAGCCCCTTTATTGCCTTAGCTATTTTCCAAATAGGGTCTTGCTTTTATGCCTGGGCTGGCCTGGAACACGATTCTCTTATTTACACATACTTGTTATGTAGTTGGGGTGACAGGCATGTGCCACCATGCCCAGTTTTTTCATTGAGATGGGATCTTTTTTCCCTTATGGAACTCTTCACGAATTTGCGTGCTGCCCTTGAGCAGGGGCCGTGCTAATCTTCCCTGTATGGTTCCAGTTTTCACATGCCAAAGCGAGCACGTGATGGGGTCTCCATAACTTTTTGGCTGGGCTGGCTTTGAACCGTGATCCTCCCTGTCTCTGCCTTCCGAGTAGATGGAATTACAGGTATGAGCTACTGATCCGGACATGTTTTATGTCTTTTGTCTACCCAAAGAACCTTGAGGAGAGAGAAGTTGCTGTACGTTGCAGTTTGATTTGTGTCTGACATAGGGTACTAAGTCTTCCTATGTAAACAACATAACACTTTGGTAAATCTTATTTTTGGTAACTCATACTAAGTAAGCCAAGAGCAAGTTACTAAGAAATTTTTACAAAACCTGAAAGTCGAGTTCTGTTTTCATTCTTTTTACAAATTTATGGAAGAGTTTCTGTGTGCAGGAGGCAAAAGGATCTCACCTGTGTCTTTGACGTAGTCTCCATGGGAGACATATATGTTTGGCAGTACTAAGGTTTAGGACCCCATGCTTTCTAGACAGGTACTCCTACTCCTTTAGTCACTCTACCAGACCTTTTTCTGTGATTTTATTATTATTTTTTTGAGATAGGGTCTCACAAACTATTACCTGGCGCTGGCTTTGAACCTCAATCCTTCTGATCTCTGCCTTCTGAATAGCTAGGATTATAGGTGTGAGCCACCAGTGCCTGGCTAAAGAGGGCTTTTTTTTTTGTGGCATGGGGTTTGAACTCAGGGCCTCACACTTGCTAGGCAGGTGCTCTACCATTTGCGTCACTCAGCCAACCCAACAAATATTTTTTAAAAAGAAGAGCCAGCAGAAAACACAGAGCCAATCAGGAAAAGGTCCAGGATCTTGGAGAAACAGATGCAATCAGAGTGTTTTTCTTGGTGACATTGCACGGTTCCAGCCATACCCTGGATCAATGAAATTGCAGCCTTCATGCTGGGATTCTTGTGATAGTGACTGAAAGCCCTTTTTGCTGTGGCCCGTGCTGACCCTGTGCTACCCCAAAGGTAAAAGCGCAGTGTTACAACTGCTCTCGTCATAAATTCTCAGGATGGAGACAATATTGACTCACTTTCACATGTCCTTGTCATGACAGAGAGGACAGAGCATGTTTGACTTTAATTTATTTTCATTGCCGTTACTAAGGGTGACTTTAGCCACGGGCCCCTGCACTCGAGCTTGTTAAGACCCATCTCAGGTGGTCCTCCTGAAGACCATTCCTGTCCTGTTTTACTAATGAGGGGACTGGCTCCCCCCGCCCACATCACACTAGTACAGTATGACTGAGCTCTGACCCAGGTCCCCTTCACTGGCCAATCAGGCAGCATACACAACTGCCAGCCAGGCTGTGCTGGGTCCTTTCTTCACTTGGCTGTTTTGATCTTTTGTTCATTATGGTTTTTTTTGCATGAATTTTGCCTTTTTAAAAGTATTGCACGCATAGATTATCTTGATTACTGAGTCTGGGGTGCTCAGGGCGGGTTATCTCTGCTTTGTGTGTGACCATCATAAGGATGATGAGGTCATAACTTGCTTGAGGTCCTCAGGCTGCTGGGGTCTTAACCAGGTGTCCTAGGGTCAGCGTGTGTTGCCTTCGGTGTGGACCATGGTGCCCTCAGATGGGAGGAAGTTTGCCCACAGCTCAGCGGTGGCTGTCATGCCTGTGTCACCTCCTGGATGTCTCTCTCTCTTCCAGCTGTATTCTCATGAGTGTGGCTCTCTTCCAGGTTGGGAAGGAGGTTAAAGAAGACTCGCAAATATGACATTATCACCACTCCTGCCGAGCGTGTGGAAATGGCCCCGCTGAATGAGGAGGACGACGAGGACGAGGACGCTACAGTATTTGACATCAAATACAGGTGCGGTGGGGACTGAGGTTTCCTTCTGGGCTCCAGGGGTCAGGTGGGTGGACCTGTTCGCCTGTCAGAGCACGGTGAACCTGGGCCATGGTGTCCGTGTGACCTTGCTCTCTGGTTACGTGTTGGACCTTGGGTCATTTTGCTTCTGAGGCATCTGGTCTGATCCCTCCCCAGGTCCCATAGCACCGAGAAATGGGGCAGGGGGTGCTACTAGAGAAATGCTTAGTCCCTGGTCTTCTCAAATGAGAATGCAAAGTCAGGAAAGGAAGGGTCCCACTCAAGACCACAAGCTTGCAGGGAGGGACACACCTGGCCCAAGCAGCTGCATGCGCCCCACGCTGCGCACCCAGAGAGAAACATCTCTTCCAGCCGTGGGTGCGTGGATGGAATTTGCCAATGAGCTCCAGATGGCTGTGCTTCCTCATGATGCTGTGTAGGAAAGGCAGAATGACCTTGACCTTCACAGTGTGCCTTCAGGTTCTTGGGGGATCTGCTTTGAACATGTGACATTCTGGCCTAAGAGCTGGGGGCTAGAAGGCTCGGAGAGGGAATGGCTTGCATGACGCCACGGGGAGTAGGAGAAGCACAACCAGGCTGGGTTCCATTCTGCATCCTTCCCGTTCAGTGGCTTCCCTGTCCCTGGAAGTCAAGCCTTTCACACCTACTGAGCTACATTCTTCCAGTACCATCTTGGCTGTCCTTTGCCTTTGGTCCATCTGCTTAAATCAGCTGTCAGACTCAGGTTTTGATTGGAATCCCATTGACTCTTGTAGGTGAAACCGGGGAAAAACAAGGCCTTTGTCGTTGACTCTTCTGAGAGGTAGTGAGGGTCCCTGCCCCCTCTTCCTCCTCTCCAGCCCTTAAAACATTTGATCTCTTTTTTAGCCTCTTCCTACTCTCAGCCTCTAAGTCAATGTTAAGTAGAAGTGGTGATCACAGGCATTTTGTCTTATTCTTGATCTTAAAAATGTATGCTAAGAGTAGTGTTTGGTCTAGTTTTTTTGTGGATTTTTTTTTCTGCCCTGGTAAGTTTCCTCTATTCTTTGTGTGCTAATGTGGATTTAGTAAATGCCTTTTCTAGCTCTGCTGGGGTCATAGTGTTTCCTTTACATCCCCCGCCGGCCTATCCTCACTACCACCCCCGCTCGCCTCCGCCCTCCCTCCCGCCCCTCCCCCCCCCGCCCCCCGCCCGCATCCTCCCCAATCTCCTCCCCCTCCCGTGCCGCCCCTCCCCATCCCACCACACCACCCGCCTCCCGCCCCCTCGCTCGCCCCCCCTCCCCGCCTCCCACCTCCGCACCTCCGCCTCCCCCTCCTTCCCGCCCCCCCCCCCCAATCCGCCAGCCCCCGCCCACCCCCCCGCCCCCCACCCGCGGCCCCCTCCGCCCCTCCGCCCCACTCCCGCCCTGCCCACCCTCTCCCCGCCCCATCCCCCCCCGCCTCGCGCTCCACCTCCACCCACCCGCGCCCGCCTCCTTCCCTCCCGTCCCCCCCCCCCTCCCCCTCCCCGCGCATATACCCCCTCCCCCCCCCCCCCCCCCCTCCCCTCCCCACCCTCCCCTCTCCCCGCCCCCACCGACCAAACCGCCCCTCTCCGCCCCCGCTACCCCCCCCTCCCCCCCTCCCCTAATCCCCTTCCCCCCCTCCTCCCCGCCCCACCACCCCCCCCCCACCCCTCCGCCCTCCCGCCCCGCCACCCCCCGCGCCCCCCGCCTCCTCTCACCCCCCCCCCCGCCCCCCCCGCCCCCGCCACCCCCCCCTGTTAAGTGTGGTGATTTTATTTTCAGTAATTTTCTAGTAGTCAAATCAGTTTCCCATACCTGTGATTAAAAAAAAACGCTTGGTCATATTCAGTGATCTTTTTTGTATGCATCGCTGCATTCAGTTTGCTAATATTTGTTTAGGACATTCTTGTCTCTTTTTTTCTTTTTTTGGTGGCACTGGGGTTTGAACTCAGGCCTCATGCTTGCTAGGCCAGGTGCTCTACCACTTGAGCCACTCCACCAGCAGGAAAAATACTGAAAATGTGTTGCTGCTTGCTCGTTTTTATGAGTCTAGTACAATTCTCCCCAAAGCCTGACAAATAGGCCTAACCAGCAACAAACAGAACAGACCATATATCAGTCACTAAGAGAGAGGAAAATGGGGCTGGGGGGCCCACAGAGCGCCTGCCTAACGTGTAGGCTCTGAGTTCAAACCCAGTCACCAAAAAAAAAGACTTTTCCTTTTCTGTGGAATTACTTTGTATCAGATTGGAATCATTTGCTTCCTAAATATTGGAGCATAATTAACACTGGCTGGGCCTGATGCTGCTTTGTGTGAAGAGTTTTTTAAACTGTTGACCTTCAGATCTTTTGAATAATTGCAGGACTATTTAGTCTTTATTTCTTCTTGGGTCAGTTTGGATGAGTTGTGTTTTTCTGGACTTTGTCCATTTCATCTGAGTTTTCCAAATGTGTTCTTTGACTAAAGTTGTTTCTAATAGTGTTTTGTGTTGTTTTTTTGAGACAGGGTCTTGTTTGGTAATTCAGGCTGGCCTGAAACTCACCATCCTCCTGTCTTAGCCTCCCAAGTGTGCTGGGATTACAGGTGTGCACACAGCATCCAGCTTCCCATATCTTTTTATTATCATCTTGTAAATCTTTGTAATTTGGGCTGCCTTTGCATTCCTAACCACATTTAATTTTATAAGTCTATGCAAAGAACCAGCTTTTCAATTTTCAGTTTTTTCTGCATCCCCTCTTAAACTTTCTTGGGTGTGTTCTGTTTCGTTTTTGTAACTTCTCCCACTGACTATTTAGGCCAGCATTGTCAGACGTCTTATCTGGCAGAAGCATTCATCCCTGCTCCTTGTCTGCATTAGCTGCTTCCCGTAGATATTCGTCATCACTGCAGGCACAACCCTGTCTCCCCACTTATCCTGGAGTACTGAACTCAGGGGGCTCCCACGAGAAGTGTGTGCTGTTTGTTGGTTGAAATAAAACCGGGATGCCAGTGAACTTGGAGGTGACTCACTAGATGCCAAACCACGTTGTCCTCAGGCCCCAGAGACGACCCTTTACTATGTGAACTTTAATTCTCAAAAAGAAGGCAGCATTTGCATCTAACAGCTTATAGATTGTGTTGGCGGAGTGGGCTCAAGTGGTAGAGCGCCTCCCTAGCAAGTGTGAGCCCTGAGTTCAAAATCCCAGTATTAAAAAAACAAACAGAGCTTTCAGATGGTTTGAATTTTGCTGACTGGAGCATCGTGACCTTGTGGAGAGATGAAATGTTATAGATACAAGATGTCGGGGTAGATTGGACATCTTTCCACAGATCCCAGTATTTACCTTTTATTATTTGGCCTGTGTCTGGACTGGGTAGAGGTAGCATTACTTATTCCATCTGGAATGCTCGTTGTGGAAACCCCGGATAAGAAACAAAGCAAAACAAGCTCACCCCTCATCTCACTGCCTTAGTGGTAACCACTAGAGTGTGCGTGAGTACACATTCTGCGGATTTTTCTCTCTTTCTTCAAACAGGATCATGTTACAAAGACTATTTGCAACAGCTTTGCACCTGAACAGCGTAATTGCCAGCACTTTTCAGGTCAATGAGTATGAAAGAACCAAGGTTCTCAGACCAAGTGTCATGTTCGATGTAGTTTTTAGAGACTTTTCTTTTGTCTGCACGTTAATTAGTCTGTTCTCTGGGACTGTTTTTTCCTATTATGATATAGCTCAAGCAAATGGTTTTGGTTTCTCTAGGAAACAAACTACATTTAAATCAGGTGTAGTTGAATCATAATTTTAGGTTCTTTGAGGGAAAGAGAAAACAGTTTTTTTGGTGCTGGGCAATGAGCAGTAACCTGCTTCTAATGATGACACGTGTAACTTTCTGATAACACATGTGACTTGGAGCCTGGGTGGGTCAGCCAGGTAGAGAATGTAGAGGAAGAATATGATGACAGCTTTTTTGTGCTCCACAGAGCTTGGTGTGCCATAACAGGAGATGAGACCACTCTCCCGCCCAGTGCTCAGGGCAGAAAACCAGTTTCTAGATCTGTACATAAAAAGGGTACTTATAAGCAAGAACTGATAGCTAATGGAGTACAGAGAGCGCTGGGATTTTGAGCTGGTTCTGTATTTAAAGAGGCATTCTGATGTTGCTTGTGGTGGCTTTTGCGCCTGGTTGACCTGGGACCTGGCGAGCAAGTTGCAGCGGAGGTTTTGGTACAGTGTGCCTCCCTTGTTTGTTGCCGGATTCTTTTGTTACACCCTCTAGGTGTCCCCAGGGCGAGGCAGATACAGCCCGCAGCTGCAGTGTGACAGTACAGTCCAAAGGTAATGCTGTCTGCCTAAGCAGCACCCTGCCCTGCCAGCCCTGCGCTTTGCCAAAAATGGGTGTCTGTGGCCTGCTTCTTCATGGGGAGATATGGCTTCCATGAGTATGGATCTGAATTCTAAAACATGCCTGCTCCTGCCCCCCCTCTGGCCTGTGGATATTACTTCCTGCAGGAATAGAAGTAGAAACCAGTGAGATTTCTGTGACAGTGCTGGGACCATGCCTGGTGGCTTGTCTTGGGAACAAGGGACATTCTGGGGTTCTCTGCAGTCGTGCCCCTGCGGGGTGGGATTGGGAATGGGAGAAAGAGAACCCTGACTTGCACATCCTGGAATGAGAGCATTGTGTCTACTTCCTAGGGACCCCACACGGTGGGCTCACAAGGCCCTTCTGCCCATGTGCTGGAGTCTAGTTGTCCGCAAGGAGTAGTTGAGGACAGGTGAGAGTTTGTGATGAGTGGTGGCACCCCGTCTGCTGTGTAGTCCACTTGGCCTCGTTTCACAGTTACGAGGGCACACACACAGGCAGCAAGCCACCCTGAGGGGTGGCGGGGCCTGGTAAGCAGGCTCCCCAGGGTGCTCTAGGGGCCTCCATACAGACACAGGCTCACCAGAGCAGCTGCCTATTGCTCGGTGTCGGTGGTGTATAGAATTCACACCTGAGCTGATCCTGGCACCTGGTCCTCCTAGGTGCAGCGAGCCGCTGCTGGCAGCTTTTGTTTACACGCACATCTGTCTCTGGTTCTGTATTTCAAGAGGCATTCTGATGTTGCTTGTGTGGCTTTTGCACCTGGTTGACCTGGGACCTGCGCAGCAGTTGCAGCGGACATCAGCCCTGCACTCTGGCTGGCTCTTGGCTTAGTCTTTGAAAGCTTTGCCAGTCTTTGAAATTTTGTGAGATAATTTAAATTTTTACCTGTGTGCTTTTATGATGCACCAAATTGAATGCCAAATGATAGCAGTTTCCCCGTTTTTTTTCTATGTCTCTTTAAAGATTTTGAAGAGATTCAGCTGTTTTTGTTTTTGGTAGTATTAGGATTTGAACTCAGAGCCTCATGCTTGCAGAACAGGTGCTCTACCATTTGAGCCACACCTCTTGTCCTGTTTTGCTCAGGTTGTTTTGGGATAGGGTCTTGCCGTTTGCCCAGGCCAGACAGGACTGTAATCCTGTTTTCCACTTCCTGCCGTCCCTGGGATGACAGACATGCTATTGGTGGAGATGATGGTCTTGAACACTATTTGCCTGAGCTGCCGGTGAACGGCAGTCCTCCCAATCTCAGCCTCCCACGTAGCTGGGATTACAGGTGTGAGTTACCAGTGCCTGGCTTAGATTTGAGGTTTTAAACTGTCACTCATTGCACAGTTATTTCTTGTCCCCGGACGGTGTCTGACACCGCGTTGATGCTCGAGTCTGAAGACCAGCAAGCTTAGCTGGGGATCTTGCTGTGTGAGCTCTCAGTCTAAGCAAGACACAGACCCCAGTCAGATACATAAAACAGGGGGTCAACAAACCACTGCCCGTGGGCCACATCTGTTATGGTGCTGTCACTCAACTTTCCAGTACTCTGACAAAATGCCTGAGACAATCAACTTAAACAAGAGAAAAGCGTTATTTTGGCCGGCAGTTTTGAAGCTTTCAATCCACGATGGACTGGCCCGATTGCTTTGGGTGTGTGGTGTGACAGCACGTCACGGCAGGGGCATGTGGTGGAGCAAAACTGCCCACCTCGTCACGAGGTGGAGAGACTGGGGTCCCATAATCCTCAATGGGGACACACCCCCAATGACCTAAAGATCTTCTACTAGGCCCCACCTCTTAAAGGACCCGCCACCTCCCAATAGCACCCAGCTGGAAACTAAGCCTTTAACTCGTGGGCCTTTGGGTGGACATTCCAGATGCATCCTGTAGCAACAGTTCATGAGCCAAGAATGATTTCTACATTTAATGGTTGCAAAAAGAACTGAAAGAAGAAGACTGTTTCATGACACATTAAAGTAATATGCAATTCAATTTTCAGTGTCTATAAAGTTTTCCTGGAACGCAGCTGTGCCCAAGCGTTCTATGTTATCTGTGGCTGTTTTTCCTGTCACAACAGTGTTGAGCAGTTGCCAAAGAGACTGTGGATATGAAAAGTTTAAAATATTTATGCTTGGACTTTTACAAAAAAAGTTTTCTGAGTCCTGTGGGATGGGCTCAGAAGGAGTGATACAAGGAGAAAAGAGGTTGTGTATGAGGGGTCTGTGTGGAGAGGGAACGAGTTACTTGGAAGAGTAGCATGTGCCTTCCAAACAGCACATTCAAAGGCCCTGTGGTTGGGGAGTGTGTAGTTTTCAAGAGCTAAAAAGATGCAGGAAGGACATTGAGGCAGGGTGGTCCAAGGGATGGGGACTGTTAGGAAGGGGTCAGGTGAGCCCCGTGTTCTGCTGGTAGGCACTGATTCTTATCCTTCCTCTTATCTTTCAGGTAAAACCTGTTTTTTCGCATGTTCGCATCCTGTGGGAACTTGGCCAGCTGCAAGTGAAGAATCTGGGAGCTGCCTCTTGTCTGAAGGGTTGAAGCCAAAACAAATGTTTATTCACAAAACTCTGGCTGCAGTCTCAGAATGTCACCGGCAAAGCTTGCTTCCAAATCACCACACTAAAGTTGCCTCTGCTTACCCTTTGGGCACCCCTTTGAAAGGTCACCCCCCCACACACACCGTTAAGAGGTTTTCTGCCTTCTTAAGGGGCAAAGACTAGAAGCATTGATGTAAAAGAATTTTTTTTTGATGATAGTGAAAGTGCTATGAGAAGGATCACGAATCTAAAAGATGACGGGAGTGTCTTTAGCTGTGTGTTTGGAATTCCTGACACCCTGCTGTCCCAAATCTACTGCTGGACTGCTGACCCTTCAGTGGTCCCTTGGGCTTCGTCGTCAGTTCTGGATGTATTTTAGGGTGATGGCTGGAGTGAAATTTCAACTTTGCAACTGGTCAGCCCCCACCACAAATGTACAAGATGTGACTTTCTCCTCCTGCCTCCTTCTTTACAGGGGTCTTGGCAGAAATAAGAATCATGGCTAATTCACAAAGAATTTTGAATTTCAAGTGTCAGGGAAACAAAATGTGCACACCTGGGTGTGGTTGTATCTAAAATAGCTGCCCTCAAGGGAGTGGAAAGCCCTAGGAAGCTTTTGGTTAGTAATATATTTTTTTATTTTTATTTTTTGGTGTTTCTCTACCCTGTCATAGTTCCATGTCATTTGTTTTAGAAATATAATTGTAGAAAAATCACTGTGGTAATTTAAGCGAATGATGGCTTGGTTGGCTGAGAAAAGAAAAGCGTCAGGGACTGTGTTGGAAGTCAGGCCAGGCCAGGGTGGACTGAAGCCCTCCACAGGTAGGTGCTTCACCTGGGAACTGGTGAAGTGACATTACCCAGAGATACCTTCTGGAAACAGGGCCTCGGGCCCACGTCTCAGGTTGATGGAGGCCTCCCACTTAGCTCTTCTTCCCTATTGCTGCACCCCAGATGCTCAAGTCTACTAGCAGTGCCTTTGGGACCCTGGGTGTGTGGGGGGGTCTCATCTGTCTAGAGAGATACTTGTTTTTTTTTTTTTTTTCATCCCTTCTTTTCCTTTCCGGCATTGTTCAGAGTCATGCATTTGCCTGTTTATTGCCTGGCTCATTGCCCAGGATGAAAACCTCCCACATTTTCCTCAGTCACCCGTATGTTCGGTCTCTTCTGTTTCCTGAGAGGGGCTCTTGTGGAGGCAGTAGGAAAGAGGGACCAGGTATGGTGGTAATCCCAGCTACTCAGAAGGTATGGGTAGGTAAGAGGATCGAGATCCAAGGTGGCCCCAGCCAAAAAGCGGGAGACCCTGTCTGAAAAATAACTAAAGCAAAAAGGGCTGGGGGTGTGGCTCAAGTGGTACAGCACCTGTCTAGAAAGTACAAGGCCCTGAGTTCAAAACTTAGTATGCACCCCTCCCCCCCCAAAAAAAAACCCCACTAGGTGGTAAAGGGGCTGCCCTGGCTCCTGGGCACCTCTAGTCTCTTTGGCCTCTGCAGGACAGAGAACATTCCAGACCTAGAGCCACTTCTTTGTTGATTTTTCTTCTCCCTCATCCACCCTGTTTGCCAGAGGGGTGGGACTGGAATCAGCCACTGTGGCTGCTTTTATCTCTCTCCTCCATCACGGCCAGAGTGGTGACTCTAGGAGGCTGGGCCACCTCACAGCTGTGTGCCCTCCCAGCCTCTGAACTGGAACTCCGGCTCTCGGCATGTCCCATGGCTGCAGCTGAATGGCTGGAAAAGCTGGATTCTTCTGCCTTATGGAGAAAAGCCACGGATCCAGGTCTGCCTGCCAGGCACTCGCCACAGGTCCTGGTGGGAGAGGCCACGACAATGACCTTCTAAACCCTTGATGGAACCTCAGCACCACAGGCACTTAAATAAAGACCCTTTAGAGGTGAACCACATGTGTGTTGAGTTTGAGTGTTTTCTGGTGGAGGCCAGAAAGGTGCCTTTCTCTGTGGTTGGGAATTCGGGCTGTGGAGGAGGGTGGGCAGGGGGCCCAGGTGGGTGTGTGGGGCCTGGTGACTTAGAAAAAGGCTTAAGACTGGGATAGTGCTGGGGGAAAACTCGCTGTCTTTGCATAACACACTTGTAGGCTCTTTGATCGGTCCCTGGAAGCTGGCTCTTTGGTTAGGAAATACTGAGCCCTCATTGCATCTGGAGTCTCTTGGGATATCTGCAGAGAACAGACCCAGTCATGTCAAAGACTTTTTGACTTCTGTCTCAGCTGACTCTGCTCAGCCGTTTACGAATGTGGGTTGGATAGGCCCAGTCTGGATTAACCCCTAGGTAGGTACAGGCAAAAAGAAACGCTCACTCACTTCCATTCAAACATGGTGACTTTGGACATTACCATGAAGCTGGAGGGTGTGACCTACTGGCCTTTGCCTGTCTGTAGCCTTCTTTACCTCCAAGTGCTTTTCTGCCACTCTGGTTCCTCCTGACACCCAGGGATGAGCCAGCCCGTCGGGGAGAGGGGTGAGCAGGACCCCTGATTCAGTTTGATTCTTGAATTTAGGGAGGAATAGAGAAAATGACACTCAAGTCCCCATCCCAGGGAGGGTGTAGGGGGGTGTTGCACACCAGTGTCCTAAACTTATGGTGAGACTTTGGCTACAAGAGCCATCTCAGGAGAGCGGAACCTCCTAGAGGGTAGGGGAGGGGTAGGCAGGGCTGTGCTACCAGCATCATCAGTGTACTGATTCCATGTCACCTCACTGGACTGAGCCCTCTCCAATCACCCACCTGTCCTGCACCTCTCCTCATAAGCATTGTGAACTTGCACATGAAAATATGGCTTGTGTTTTAATCACTGGCAGCTTCCTGTGTCTCCAGAGGGATTTGGGTTCAGTCTGTTCTTACGTAAATAAATGATTTGTGTATGTGGGACAGGGGACAGCTCTGGGGACCTGGAGGTATCTTGTACCACAGTACCAGGCAAGGCTCTATCTGCTCCTGGTGATGGTGGAGCCAGTTCTGACCTCCAATCCAGGAGTGCCATTAATTCCTTGTGGTTTTTATCAGAGAATTCAAGAACACTTGATGTAGACTCAGTGTACGGTACCCAGCATTCAACTCGTGAAAGTTTTTATATTTTCCATTATTGTAGGGAGGCAAATAGATGTGAACGTTCCAGGTTGTCACGAGTCACACTGTGCCTTGCTACCTGAGTCTTTGGGCTAAGAATTCCCATTTGTGACTCTCCTTGTAAACTGCCTCAAAGCTGAGTGTTATTTCTTCTTAGGTTCAGTGGGTCAGCTTACCAGCAAAGCACAATCCTCCCGGAGATGGGTTTTTTGATGAGCCAATTTGATGTGGATGGGAACACAAAAGAGATTGTGTGTACCTGTTGGCAAAGCAGGTGGCCGACAGTCTCTGGTTTAAGTGTTCAAATGGCTCATCTGGCACCAGGCGCTGTGAGCAGGTGCCCTTTTGTGAGTAGGTAAATGTGTTATGAATTATCTTAAGAGTCTGCAAGAAAACCATCGGGGTGGTGCTGACCGTCGTGGGGGAAGCAGCAGGATGAGGATAGACTGTCACCTGATTTCTGGCCTTGCTGCTTGTGGACTGTACCTTGGTTTTACTTTCCCCACCTGTGATGTGGGGCAAGCTTACGGCATTGGTTATTGTGATCATTAAAAAGGTGTAATTTAGCAAAGTACATGCTATAGGTGTCTGACCCAGAGGACACCTGGGGGTGGTCACCCCTATCAGCAGGCTTTGAGTTCCTCCTGTGTGCTCAGTGCCTTTGCAAGCAATTTCTTCTTCAGTTCTTCAGCTGGTCCACTAGGTGTTATCCTTGGAACAGATGTGGTGGTTCTGTGATTGTTTCCACAAGTCCCAGGCCTATGTCCATTTTGCCATGTCCCTTTCCCCACCTGTCCATAAGAAAGTAGTTCCTATTTGCCTGACATCTTTTTTTTTTTTCATTTTTCTTTTATTATTCATATGTGCATACAAGGCTTGGGGTTCATTTCTCCCCCCTGCCCCCACCCCCTTCCTTACCACCCACTCCGCCCCCTCCCTCTCCCCCCCTCAATACCCAGCAGAAACTATTTTGCCCTTATTTCTAATTTTGTTGTAGAGAGAGTATAAGCAATAATAGGAAGGAACAAGGGTTATTGCTGGTTGAGATAAGGATAGCTATACAGGGCATTGACTCACATTGATTTCCTGTGCGTGGGTGTTACCTTCTAGGTTAATTCTTTTTGATCTAACCTTTTCTCTAGTACCTGTTCCCCTTTTCCTATTGGCCTCAGTTGCTTTAAGGTATCTGCTTTAGTTTCTCTGCGTTAAGGGCAACAAATGCTAGCTAGTTTTTTAGGTGTCTTACCTATCCTCATATCTCCCTTGTGTGCTAACGCTTTTATCATGTGCTCAAAGTCCAATCCCATTGTTGTGTTTGCCCTTGATCTAATGTCCACATATGAGGGAGAACGTACGATTTTTGGTCTTTTGGGCCAGGCTAACCTCACTCAGAATGATGTTCTCCAATTCCATCCATTTACCAGCGAATGATAACATTTCATTCTTCTTCATTTGCCTGACATCTTAACAACCTCTGAGTCCTACCGGCAACATGGTGGGGTTAGCATTTGCCTTCATTGTGGGTGTGCAGGAATAGGTCTAGGGAGGTCAGTCACTGCCCCAAATCACTTGGTTTATAAAAGGCAGGTCTCAAACCACCAGCCTGCTGCCTCCTCCAGTACTTCTTCCTGAGTGGGATTGTTAGGAAACTTTCCTTCTGAGATTCGAAGAGTATACCCTTGGGATGGTCTAAGATGTCTGAGTTATGGGCCAAGGACATTTAAGGTCATGTCCTAAGAGGCACCCAACTCAGATTGTGATGTGGAAAGGCATCTGCAGGTGAGGGGACAGTGCCCCATGGTGCCCATGCCCTTCTCTTTCTAGATTTCACCAGGGCACCTGGGTCCTGGAATACTTTGCCCAAATGCCCTGAGCTGATTTCAGAGTCTGTGCTGGGTTTGTCTTCCCTAGGGATATTCCTGTGCTCATGTCTAAGGCCAAGAGTGGCCAGGTGACTGGGATGTGGCAGGGATGGGACCACCGCTATGCAGACTGCACTGTCCACACACGTGTGTCAAACCCCTGGTAATGAGCCACAGATGGCAATGGAGGGAGAAAGATTGAGGGCTGCAGGCCAGGCCTGGGGCCTGGCAAATAGTAGGGGTGGATGAACTCACCTGGGACCCCTCTTGGGCTGTGCACTCAGGGAAATAGCACACCTGGTTTCCCTGTAAGTTCTGATCTCATCACAGAGAGCCACTCCAGGCCTGCCATGTTACCACAGGCCATTTGCCAACTAGGGACCTAGTTCTGGGGGAAGACTGTCCACATAACCAGGACTATAAAAGGAAAAACTTTTGATTGTAGCCAGCTTGCACTGCTGGTTAATTTTGCATGTTCGTTAAAGTGACATTTTTATTCTCTGTCTCTCTCTCTTTGGGAGCCCAAGGTTAATAGTCTATTTTTTCTAGGAAACTCCTCCCCCCATCCCCCACATCTCTCTCTGACTGCCAGGAAGGAGCAAACCTCTGTCAAATAAGACATGCCAACTTCAGAGATGTGGCACCAATAACCAAGGCCAGCACTTGGTCACGTACCCCAAACCGAGCTCCTGGGCTTTCCCTTATAATCCCATCCTCCCCCTCTAGAATAGGACTGTGGGTTTGAGTCAATAGGTCATACAGTCCCCATTTTGTCCTGGCAAAATTCAGAAAGCTTATTTCCTTCTCCTTTAACTCTTGCTCTTTTTACTTGTGTGTTGGCATTGAATTTATGGGACTGAATTTCCTGGAACAACATCTCTTTTTTCTCATCAAGGCTGGAGAGGTAAGCTGGAGACTGCCACTGCTCCGTGGTCACCTGTTTCTCTTTGTAATGACTGTGTCTTCATGTTATAAGATTTTGGGCCCATCATTGATTCAGCTGCCTTGTCAACCACCCTGTTAGCTCATT